CACACTCTCCTGGCTGTAGACTGGGTTCTTGTTCCCAGTGGGATTTTCTTTCTTTTGCATATGTCAGTAAGAAAGTGAGAATGAATGGCCCAGGGACACTAGCAGGGAACAAAAGGAATAATGCCAAAATCAGTAGGAAACAATTTAAGACCAATAGGAAAGACTAACATTTGAAATTACTAACAAATCCCTGAGCTGTCAATTATTATTATTTTCTGTCACCCTCCTGATGTTCCCCTTTTATTCTGAAATAGCTGATACAGGACAGAGGGAAGTATTTCTTAAGCTGTGCTCCTGGAGCTTGGCATTCCAGACCACCATTATCAATGCAAGTTCTAATGCAAGCTGACTAGCCCTAACAGCAGTGCTGCCCTCAGTGCTGGGAGGCAGGGGATGGCCAGGATGAGCATCTCATGTGATGGATGCAGGGACTTTGCTGCCAGGAGTAGGCCTGGGGCAGTCCAACTGTTCAGTACTCCTTCAACATCCACTTTATAAAAGATGACAACACAAAGACAGAAGCCACCAGGATGGAGAGAAGGAATGAATTTAGGAACATCAGAAGCTCATTAAGTACCTCCCTGTAAGTCACTTAGTTAATCTCTTTCCCATCAATGTCCCCCTGGAAATCACTGGTGATGACACTAAGAGTTAATCATGAGGAAAGCAAGATTTATCTTTTGTCCCAGCAAACAGCAGAGTGCCACAGCAGCAGCTCAGCTGAGGTTACCTACATTCCTGCAGGATTCTTTTGGTTAGCAGCAATGCTGCCCTCCCAATACAATGTCAATCCTCCCAAGGCACAGCCAGCAATGCTGCAACATGTAACTCCCCTGGAATATCAGACACAACTACCCTGCGCATGGATGTACCTTTCTAAGGCTCCCACATGGCTCTGCCCCAAAACCCCCCAGCACTGCCAGTAGCATCAGTTGCTCCCCCACAAGAGGTTGTGTTGTCCTAGTAAAGCAGCCCTGAGCATGCTCCTGGTATATTCCACACCCTGCAGCCTTCTTATCCCTCTCAGGTCTTCTGCAAACCTTGGCTTGCTCCCAGCTGTGAAGCCAAACGCTGATGGATGAGCCAGCAGGGGGAAATTGTTCAATATTTTATCCATTGTGATATGGACACCATTTAGCACCTTGCAGCCCTACTTCAGACTGCCACTCACATCAACATGGTTGTCACTCACCATCATTCCACTTCTCACAGTTATGACCACAAAACTCTTACTTCTGCTAATGTTAAAACAAGACTGGAGTGTTTAATAGCCTCACTAGGAGAGGGCAGGCGGCATCCTCAGCAGCACTGCTGCAGAAGCATCCACTACTCCTGAGCAGTGTTTGCCCTGCCCTTGGCTGTGAACTGTTTAAAGCCTCAGCACAGTAACCAAGGTAATAAAAAAACCCAAAGACCAGGCAAAAGACTAGAAGATGAGACTCCAGAGGGGATAAAAACTAAAAAAAAAAAAAAAAAAAAAAAAAAAAAAAAAAAAAAAAAAAAAAAAAAAAAAAAAAAAAAAAAAAAAAAAAAAAAAACAAAAAACCACGAAAAAGAAAAAAGATACCAATGAAGTGTTGGTTACGCAGAAAAGCATATTGACAGGACAGGTGCACAACAATGACTTTTTAGCATGTGCTTGTCAAGGAGAAACTTTTTTTCTATGATTGGTCCCTTTTCTGTCTTTCAAATGTTACTAACACTTGTGTCTGCAGTGGTATTTCATCTTTTTAATACTCTAATTTCCAACTAGGCCTGGAATTTGAAATTCTCATTACCATACTTTTTAAATCATGTTTGTTTTGTTTGGGGATGTTTGTTTCCATCTTTTTGTTTGGTTTTTTAAAACATTAAGGAAGTTCAACCAGAAAAAGAAACCCACAAATACCTTTTATTTCATTATTTCTGAGGCCTGACCCATGAGTTTTACAGGTGTGAGGCTGGCAATAAAGGCAGCAGCTAATTTATCTGATCACTACACTCTGTAGATGAACCAGAATAAGCGATATACCTGTTCGATAGTTGGTCTTTATATAGCCAGAAACCTGTGCAATTCAGCCACCACTTAGCTGTTGGAAGGCATGATTATCTAGAAATAGGACAGGCTTGAAGAAAAGGAAAATTCAAGGCAACAAAAGGACCAAAAAAAAAAAAAAAGCCCCATCTAAACAGGAAAGGCTGGATTCTACACCTTGATATACTTCTGCTACCTCAGTTACATGGCAGGGTGTTCAATTCATAGTTCACCACAGGAACTACCCAAGAGCCAATTAATTTGCTTTACCATTTTCAAGAAATACATCTGAATTTCCTCTATTTCCATTCACTATTTCTCCACCAACAGAAGGCCTGAGTCAGACTAATATTTTCTTCAGACATTAGCAGTTGATAAACATTTAATTTTTTAGTTTAATTTTAATCAATTAAGTTTTCAGATTCTATATACTGTTAAAAAATATTCCCTCGGAAGAGAATCTGCTTATGGATAGCACATGCACACAGAACAAGGCCTGCATGTTGAAAAAATAAATATATTTTAAAAGTGTATAATCTAACCTGCATCTTACTGCTCACACTGTCCATTCTTGTGTGACTCACTCCACTACGGACAATGAGAACAGACTGGTCGTTTTCAGCTCTTCATCACAGAGGTTTTCTGACCCTCATGCACCACACCACTTTTAAAAGTTTGTACTGCACAGCCAGTTTCTATCAGAATTTCCTTCTAACACCCAAGGAAAATTCAATGTTTTTGACATCTGAACTTAGAGACCTCTAAAGCCTCATCCCCTACAAGTATGGCCTTCTTGTAAGAACAGCTTCAGCTTATCAGAAATTCAGATGAGTAATAGTGATGACAAACCTATACCAGAAGGTTTTCAGAAGAATTAGTAACCAGTTCTTGCCATCCAATCATTGATTCCCACAAAGTGCTCACATGGCTATGATTATCATTACTTATAAGGGTGTCAAACTGAAACTGAGTCAGTGTTTTAAAAATTATTTAAAAGCAGTTCTGGATACTAGAGTGCCTTCCAAGTTCCTGCTGCCAAACTGCATGTTCTTCTTCACAAGAAGGTGATATTTTCTCCCTTGTGCACAAGAGAAAAAAACCCCAACACTGGCTCTGATAACAGACAATACTAATGAACCATACAAAGGAAATAATGGGTTACTTCATGCATTTGACAGCTTACTGCAGTTTTAAAAGATTTGTGAAGATGAAAATGCATTTCATTTATCTGAAACTATTTCATTTTAGGCATTTGTAGCAATTATAGCCAACGTTTTTCAGACAGAAGTGTGATTTTTGAATTACAGTGTCCATTTCAAAGCAACATTCAAATTAATCTAGTCAATTTTTCCAGCCCTGAAGTCCACAATGTTAAGGTATGACAGTTCCAGTTTCATCTGTAACCAAATTAGAGTTAAGCATTCCTACACTATATCAAAGTGTTAAGGAATGAGGCAACCTCTCCTTGAGGAGGCAGCTCCTTTCCTAGGAGCCCCCCTCCACAGCCTCCAAGGTAAGAGATATTCACCCCAGCAAGAGGGCACAGGTGATGTGCTAAGCAAGAGCTTTGGGAATCCTCCATTGTCACACTTTACAGTTGACTTTCAGGAGAGAGCTGCCAATTGTCAAGACTGCCAGGGGTGCAGTTCCACAGCAGTCTCTCAGCTCCAGCCCTGGTTGTGGCATCCCTGCTTCTTCCTGTCAGTGCTCCCTCCCCTGCCTGGACACTTCCCTCACTGACCTGGCCGAAATCTAAATGTAAGGGGAAAAAAAAAAAAAAACAAACAACAAAGCAAAAAAACCCAAAAGCTGAAAAAACAAACAAACAAACAAAAAACCAACCAAACAAAAGCAAACCAAAAAAACCAAACACCAATTAGCCTTCAGTCAGAGCGGTTCCCTGAGGCCTCTCACCATGACCTTGGCAGCTCCCTAAGGAGCACAAAGAAGGAGGAAACCTAGGACTGGGATGGATAAAAAGGCAAGACTGTGGAATTAGAAGTGGTGTAAACCATTACTGGACCACATCTCTCGGTTACAATCAGGACTTTTTTTTTTGACAGTGAAATGAAGGTATGAACCCAATGCTCTTACCAGGAATTCAACACATCAAAAGGCTACCCTCCAAAATGGCCTCTTACCCATGCTGTCAGCAAAGAGGCCAAGGGCACCACTCTGGGGATACTGAAAAGCACATCAGAAGAAAGGACCTCCCTCCAACACCACCGCACACTGCACAGCTTTGGCTTCAGGGGGATGTTCCAAGGTCAGGGAGACCCTGTGGTTAACCGTCACAAGGAAGCAGAGCATCCCACTCAGCAAACTCCAGGCTCACAAAGCAAGTTAGGTGCCCATTTACTGCTGGGTTGACTAAATACAGCCTTAACAAGTCTTGACTGAGATTCCATCTTAAGTCTGGGACTCCGTAACAACACATCTTAAACACTTCAAGTCCTTGGAGGGATCCTTTTTCTAGTCTCTTTTATGTGTTTGAGTGAAACAAACACTACATTTTCCTGCCCTTACTGGGACAGTGTTTTGGATCCAGCAAACAGCTATTGCAGCTTCACAAAAGAGTAACAGCAATAAAACTCCAGGGTATCAGTAAATATACGGAAAGTCACAACAAGGTGTATTTCAACTCCTTGTAACCCAGGTAATCTCCATTCATTACCCTTCCACTTTCAAATTACAGCAGCAGCAAACAGAAAGTCATATCTGAGCCTCCAAATGCAAAATGAATACAGGTTACATAAAACATAGCAGGTTCTAAAAATAATCAAAGACAGCACGCCTTAAATTTATGTTTTGATTTTGTTTCCTACTGACAAATACAACCCCAGCAAGAGACCTAACTATAGGCAGTATTACAAGTGATATCAAAAGTTTTTCCAACAGTTGCCTGTACCAGAGCTCCTCAGGAGGCTTTGCTGCAGGCCCATACAGCACAAGGAAAAAGAATTTGGTGCAAGGGGCTCATACTCACCGTCTGCAAAGTTTCTTCCTGTCTTCTGCTTTGGCTCTGTCGGTTGATAAAAGAGCGTGTCGAGAGTTTGTAATGGTTCAACAAGCAGATGATCACTACCACCATAACAGTTATAACCACGATTATAATGATGATTTGAACAAACTCCAGTTCAGCTAAAACAAAGAAAAAAAAAAAAGAGGTAAATGTGTCATTAACACACAAAATTAACCATCAAAGCCATAATCTGAAAAAAACCTCATTATTTCATCAAGATTGATCTGGCATGTGATACTACTGCTGTCCATTCTGCAAAACTTGGTGAAGAAAACTGTTCTAAGACATATGAAAATTATCTAATTTTTGTCAGAGCAAATTGATCGGTATGAGTGGCTGCAGGTCACAATTAAGAAGCTTCTTGGTGATCCTTCTCTGCAGCCTTCTCAGGTAATAAACTCCTCAGCATAAACACCACAGACAAGCCTTTTGGATAACATGTTTTCACTGTGTGGGGGAAACAAACCAACAAACCACACCCACACCACAACCCCCCCCTATTTTAACAGCCACCTGTACTGCCAATAGAGTCCAGAGGGTTCCATAAGCTTCAGAGCAGAGGTCATGTAGAGTGGAATCAGGACGTTGTATCTAGTACACTACCCTTAGTTTTTTATCAACTAAATAGCATGAAAGCTATCTAACTAGAGTGGAAAACTTTTATCCTACTGAATCTACACACAATGCCTTTTTCAATTACTAACTTCCCCCCCAACTAGCGTAAAGTTAACTCTTCTAGGACTTACCCGTTCAGATAAAAATGTAAAAAGAGATCTGGTACTCTAAAACAAGGTATGTTCCACCATGGTTAAAAATGAAACCAGGGCCTTGGATGTTGCAAGAGATACAATTACAATGAAGTCCATTAGAGCCCATCATCTTATCTGAAGCCCTGACTATAACTACTAATATTAATATATTTAGAAATGAGTCACTCTTGCACCCTTTTGGTTACACTGGAGCAGCAAGGATGAGCAACACAAGGGGAAAAATTGCCCTTTGGAGTTACTGAGTTGCTGATATTTCTATGGAAACTGCATTGCTCACAGGGAATGCTCTCATCTTGAAAGACAACTCCAGTTAACGGGAGGAGGTCTTTGGTTGCTAGGCTGGTAGAAAAAGCAAGTAAGCAGCACAAGTTGCTCAGTTTCAGTACTTTCCAAAAAGGGCACTACTTTTTGAATGCAAAAACATGAACTTCAGGGAACCAATATTAAATTTCTGTTTTAAAAAGCTAACATGACAAGAGAGATAATGACATATGAAGATGAAAAGACAAAGCAAATATCAGAAAACAAGCCTCCCCCCTTCCGATCTCCAATTTGTAGAGACTCTCAGCTTTCTGTGTGACAGCAGCACATTTGGGCAGACACAATATGACTATGAAGCTGAGGTAGAAAAATGCCATTCACACATAAAATCCAAGATGAACCTGTGGTAGAACTAAAGGAAATGCAAGGCTGTTTCATTATTTTAAGATTTCTTGTGAATAAAACTTCAGACCACAGATGCTGCAAGTGTGCTGGTGTTTAGTGGAGGCTGGTGTCAAGGTCCACCTGTCTGCCACAAGCTACCAGCAGGCACAGCCACACCACCATCTAAGTGCTGAGGGTCCACAATCTCCTCAGTAGGAGTAACTAAGCCTACTTAAAGCTAAGGAAAGAGTTAAGGGCAAAAATACACCTATCACTTAATTTCTCTTTGCTGTTAAGTACCATCCACTCATCATTAAGACCACTAACATTTTCAAAGAATTTGATTAGTCAGTGTTTCGTGCTCTGCTTTTGCTATCAATCCCATATGCAGTGCAGCAACCTTTCTTTTTCCCCCCCTCTCTTCTGCAACTGGAAGTTAACAATGTCAGCACCAAAAGATCAAAAAGTAGGAAGCACAGAATTAATTAAAAAAGGAACCCACCAAAACCACACTTAAGTAAAAATCAGTTTTTCTTGGCTCAGAAGTGCAGAATACAGACTTTACACAGTTGACAACTGCTGCAATTCACATTCGGTGGCTACTGAAGTACTAAATGGTTTCTTCACCCAAACCTTTTATTTGGGTCCACGTCATACTTTAGACTGGAAATTGAGAGACTGTTGCTAAAGGGCAACATGCAAAACAAGCAATGTTGATTTAGGCTTTCCTAGAATGCAGAGATCACTGCAATGACATGTTACTTCTCTGCCTGCCAAGGGCAGAGTCTTCTAAATTTATCAAGGCCCCTGCATTTCAGTGGCAAGGAACAGTACCTCTCCATTAGAAATAAATTATTTGGTCTGCAAGCACTTCCCTTGGGAGGGAATAATTTGAAAGTGTTTGACTAAAACATGGTCATATAACAAAGAAAATAAAAAGCAGAGCACGCAGGTGTGAGCACAAAAGATTTTCCAAGTCCAGCTTTACATTACAAACACTAAACTGCAACAAAACACCTTACTGAGGTTCAGGACAATTTCCTCACTGGAAAGTACACGGAAAAGAAAGGTAATTTTTAATCTCTTCTTTCTCCAGACTGACACCCCTGCTGCTCATTAGGTTATTAACAGGAAAAAGCAAAGACACAAGTGCAGCAGCAGTCTGTATTTGCTGGCACTGATCAAGGCCATTTAAATAGTTCCTGGCGGCTGCTGACAGGCACTGGGTCACCCCGGCCCCCACCGCCTCCCCTGCTCTGCTGCCCAACACCTGCCAGGCGCGAAGGGCCACCGCCTTCCAGACAGGCATCTCCTCCTGCCTACTTTTCCTTTCTGAAAAGAGACCGGGGGGGGGGAGGAGGGGGGGGGTTGGGGGGTTCAGGAAGAGAAATTATATGGTTTTGCCTCCCCAAGTCTATTACGCTCACATATATCCGTTTCTTTACACTCCAGAATCAACATTTCTAACAAAAATTCTCCTGGGAAATAATTAAAAAAAAACCCAAACCAAAACACAATGTTTCAGGGTAAACGCCCAACACGGAAAAGGCAACTACACGCTGAATGAAAACACGTCAGAAAAGCATGAAGAGAGATAAATAATTTACAACCCTACCAGCAACTACACAAGCCCGTCACCCCGAGCACTCCCCCGCAGAAGAGACCCCCCAGCCCGGGCGCATCCTGCCCTGCGCCCCGCGGCTCCGCAGGCGGGCGCTCCCCGGGCGGGCCGGGCTGCCCGGTGACCCAGGACCGCATCCCGCGGCATCCCTGCCCCTGCGGACGCGCGGGTACCTCTTTCCAACAACAGGTCTTTTAACCGCGCATCCTTCACCGCTGTCCTGTTAAGCCGCTCACTGGACATGCTCGCCTCCGGCGGGCGGGGGGCTCAAGCCGCTCCGCCAGCCCCCGCATCACCGGCGGCCCCGGGCTCCATCCAGCGAGGGGAAGGGGGAGAGACACCGTCCTCAGGCGGCCCGCCGGGCCCTACGCGGGGCCGGAATGACGGACGGACGGACGGACGGACAAGCTCCCGCCCGCGCCTCTCCGCGGCGCTCGGACCGCAGCCACCGCCCCCCGGCCCCGCCGAGCCCCCCGCCGCGCGGGTGCGCGCACGCACGGGCACCAGGGGCCCGCCGGGATCCGCGTCCCGAGCAAAAGGAATAATAATAGTAAAAAAAAAAAAAAAATTTTTTTTTTTTAAAAATTAAAAACCCCCAACACTAAAATAAATAAATAAAAAAATGTCAACCGGCGAGAACAAAAAGAACGGGAAGGCGATGATGCCCCGCTGCTCCCCGAGCCCCGCCGCGGGGCCCGGAGCGCGGGCAGGGAGGAAGGTGCGTAGCTTACCCGGCGCCGCCGCCCCGCCGCTCTTTAAGCCCGGCCCGGCGCGGCGGGCGCTCGGGGCACCCCGGATCCGCCGCCTGCCCCGGCCCGCCCGCGCCTGCGCCGCCGCCCGCACCGCCCCCGCCCAACTGCGCGCGCCCCGCCCCGCCCCGCCCCGCCCGGCCGGGAGTGAGGGACTGCGGGAACTGCGGGACAGCCGCCCGGGGCCTTGGCGCTCCGAAGGGCACAGGCGGGGAAATCTCGCCCCCAGCGCCACACAGCCAGCGAGAGTAATCGCAGGAATCCTCCCAGCTGCGCGGCCGCGGCTTCCTTACCCAAAGTCATACGGGGAGTCGGGATGTGTGTGCGTTGTGTGTGCGTGAGTGCGTGCGTGTGTAAAATATTAGGGAGCTGCATCCTGAAGCAATACTGTAAAATAATAACCATCAGAAGGAACAACGCCTGTAACATCGAGAGTTATAAAAGAAAAATAGAAGAAGAGGAGAAAGGAGAACACCGGGGATTTTGGGGACATGGGCTCTAGTCTCATGTGTGTTTCTTTGGCAGAACTCATCAAGGTGTGCAAATATCTAAAGGGAGGGTGCCAAGAGGATGCAGCCAGGCTCTTCTTGGTGGTGCCAAGCAATAGAACAAGAGGCAACGGGCAGAAACTGACGCATAAGAAGTTCCACCTGAGTATGCGGAAGAACTTCTTTACTGTGCAGGTGACAGCACACTGGAACGGAGCCCAGAGAGGTTCTGGAGTTTCCCTCACTGGAGATATTCAAGAACCATCTGGATACAATCCTGTGCCGAGTGCTCTAGGACAACCCTGCTTAAGCAGAGAGGTTGGATCAGATGACCCACTGTGGTGCCTTCCAGCCTGACCAGCTCTGTGAAACTCCCAGCTCCAGCAGTGCCTGCCTGTCTACACCTGTATTCACACTCAGAGCACTGCAGTGGAGGCCAGTAGCAGGTACTTAAGGCTGTCCCTGCAGCTGCTGCTCACAGGAGCAGCACAGTCCTACAGTGTCCCTGCCACACTGGGAAGCACCTTTAGCATTATGTCCCTTATTAGTGCCATGTCCCTCAACTCCCAGGATGTTCCTCCTATACTGGCTTCACCAGCATGGCCAAGCCTCCTCCTGTTCCTAGTTACTTCTCTGGATTACGGTGACATCCCCAAAGCACCAGATAAGACTGCTGTGTGTCTACATGAGCAAGAAAAGAGATTTCACCCTCTGGTCTGCACTTGGCCAGCACCTGGGAGCTCCTGAAAGTAGAGGAGCTGGGCCTCAGCACTGGCGAGGCTTTGGCCCCTCTCCCAGTTGGGCTTGGGCTTGCTCAGATCAGCTTCACACCAGCACTGCTCTCCC